CAGTTAATATAATGTTACTGCCAATGGAGCATAGATCATTGGGAGCCTGGAGCTACTTCTGGGGCTACTGCCAGTCCCAAGCCCAGATAAAAAAGGAGGGTTAGGTATGGGGTTAGCTACTCCATCACATAGAAAACTAACTCGTTAAAAAAAACAACATTTAAATTCAGCCCTAAGAGTAAGAAGGTCTTCATTTAGAAGATTTATGATGCCTCATGGTGAAAGCCGAGTTCCTTCAGAAGTCACGAGGCTGATAACCCTTCTGACAACCAGAGCAACCATTAGTTAAGCATATTAAGATAAAGATAATATTAAAGATCATGTTTAAAATATGAATACAATTTTATTCATGGCATTAACCATTTATAATCAATGGAAAAAGAATTATAATTGAATCGATATATATATATATACCGTGGGAGAGAAGAAACTAGATTCCAGTAGAGGAGGGAATCAGCAAGAAGCGCTGGAAATTGATAGGACACACACTGAGAAAAAGAACTCAACTGCATCACAACATAAGCCTTCACATGAAATCCTCAAGGCCAAAGGAAAAGAGGAAGATCAAAGAACACATAACAGCGAGAAATGGAAACAGACATGAGACGAATGAACAAAAATTGGATAGAACTAGAAAGTACTAGAAGAGTACCTTGGAGAATGCTGTTCGGCGACTTATGCTACATTGAGGGTAACATGCGTAAGTTATATATATATATATATATAATATGGTTGGAGTAAAAATTTATTAGAGAGAGAAAGTTTATTCAGAGAGAAAACAAGGATGATGAACTCTTATTTAACTGTTCGTGACATAAACAATGAATGGATGAAGAATTGTTAGGTCATAATTTACAAAATTGTCAAAAGCACACTTGAAATATTAAAGCAAACAACTTAAAAACATTTCTATTGACCTTTAATGTTAGTTAAAATTTAAAAAAAGAAATGAATACTACTACTATTAATAGTGGTAGTAGTAGTAGTAGTGCAGTGTATGCTACTATGTTTGCAGATACAGGTAGTATTTAACATCAATCGGATGTGAAATATCTGCAATCAGAAAGTTGAGAAAATTGAGATTAAGAGAACAGAGAAGGAAACCGAAAACAATCAAGATAACAATAAGAATAAAGGAATAATGAAGTTTGTAAGAGACAATTCAAAAAAGATGTGAAAAGGGTGTGTTTGATGCATGATTTTCACATCTTACTATAACATTGTGTGATTGTGCATTAAAAAACAAATTCGTCTTCCTCAATTTAGTGTTGATTCACTACAGTAATAGTGAAAAAACTACAACTGTATGATTTAGCGATAGGTATCCTTATAAACTGAAGTCAGTACTTAATATCTACACATAATGTTATTTTATTCATATATCTTTCAATATGATTAAGGCAAAGAGTTGGAATTCAACAATGAATGTTTCAAATTCTACAGTTTACAAAATATCCTATTGCATAACTTTATGATATTACAGTTAGAAATATTTACATCAGTTACTCATTATGAATATTTAGGCTAATACAAGCTTTCTAATATTTTGAATTTATATAGACGTTTTGGATTATTATCTTGTATCTTTGATTTTGATGATATATTGTCAAAAAGCTGATCAACATAATACTAGACTTCATACTGATTGACAATCATCAGCAAGGAATACTGGCAAACTACAAGCAAATAATATTACTAGCAACAATAAATCTTCCACCAATCAGAAATAAATCCAGAACATTCATACTGAGTGATCTCAATACTGTTTCCCATTACTTATGATTAATAAAAATTACATGATCTCTTTTTTTTCTCTCTTGCTGATAAAAATCCATCAAATAAATTCCACGATCTAATTTGAAAAATATTATATCAAAATATTGCATTACCTTGAGTACTTGCAACATTGTAACTTTATGGGTAGAATCGGATTAACATAGAATTCGTTAGAATGTATTCTACAATTCAATTAATCACTAAACTTAATTCTTTTCTGTTTTTTTTTCTTTTATCAAAAAAGAATTAATTTTTAATTTGAATAGTTGAGATAATGAGTTCAATGAAGATAGACCACTATGAAAGACCTAGAAGCATTGGACGGCTATTTCATCCTATTCTGGGACTTCTGGGTTCGAATCTCGCGAAGCGGGATCATAGATGCACATTGCTGAGGAGTCCTATACTAGGATGAAACGGCCGTCCAGTGTTTCCAGGTTTTCCATGGTGGTCTAATGAGTTCAATTATTAAATTAATACAATCTCCATAAGATCCCTCTCTGATTATAATTTTGTTTGTATCTTTTTTATTTTCTTTAAAAAAAGTAACATGATGTACTCCTTATTCAGTTATGCATCACGTATCATGTTGTTTATTTCTGTTATCTATGGGTATATCTTGTAATCAGCTTGAAACTAATATGAATTATGAGAAAAACTTCTACACACTATTTTAATATGAAACATATCTATGATAAGAATTAAAAGGGAACTTTGAGACATTCTGAATCATGAATTCTTAAATATTTAAATTATCTATATATTATTAATATCATCATCATCATCATCATCATCATCATCATCGAGGAATAGGTTGGTTGATTCATTGTGTAAAACTTATCGTGTATTAAGTAGAATGGAAAATAGTATCTTTATTCTTGAATTATGAAATTCTTAACACTTGTATTTCTTAAAATTACCATATCTATTTTAAGGCTAATCCACTACTCAGTAGTAGTAGTAGTAGTAGTAGTAGTGATAGCACCAGGTATCAGACAGAAAATAAATAGATCACTGATGAACACATGAAAATGTGTGCAATTATTTGGTTGTATTATTTAGTTTTCCATGGTGGTCTAGCTTCAATTGATTCATGATTTCAACTATTGAAATATTTATTTATCAATATATGCTCACTAATGAGTGGCTTCATGAGGTATATTCTGGAGTTGTATTGAGAAGTAGTGACTAGTGGAGTTTAACAGGGTCTGTTGTGAGATAGTAACTTACTGGTGACAATGGTGGAAGTGTCGCTGAATTTCGTGTATTAGTTGAAGTTAGACATTAACACCGTCGGATGCCTGCTCAGTGGTCTAGTGATTAAGCCGTCGCGCGTGAGACTGATAGGTCCTGGTTTTGAATCCATCGAGGGGGGTGGGATCATGGATGCGCATTGTTAACGAGTCCCACAATGAGACAAAACGGCCGTCCAGCGTTCCCAGGTTTTTCATGGTGGTTTAGCTTCAATTGACTCATCATCTCAACTATTAAAAATTACTATAATATCTACAAAAATCCCATTTCTAATTTTTAATTATTTATGCATAAAATTAAAAATAAAAAGCTTTTTTAAAAAAACATTTCATTGAATTTCTCACATCATTGATTTTCCACCCCATTTCTATATACATTTTAACGTTAAATAAGTATGTCCTATTATGTCGGTATTATTATTATTATTATTATTATTATTATTATTAGTAGTAGTAGTAGTAGTAGTATAAAATAAATGCATGAATTCAACAGATTGCACGCAATCATTAATAATTATGTAATTCATTATATGAGCATAAAAATAAAAAAAATTATTATTATTATCATTTAATTTACATTTTACTCGATTTTTCTAATCATTCACTAACTACAAAGTATTTTGAAGTAAAAAGGAAATTGTTTTATTTTTTTTAATTTTTTTTATTTATTTATGTTCAGTTTGAGAGGGAACATTTATAATTGTTTTTCTATCTGATAAGATCTTGTTTTTTCCACAACCCCACCAACCCCACCCCACCCCTTCACTCCATTTTACTTCCCTGTACTCGCCCCCCCCCCGAAAAAAATTCAACAGATTTCAATGACATCAAAAGTATTATTTTATAATAATAATAATAATAAGACAATTTAATAAAGTCGGTAATGAGAAACGTTAGATAAAAATATATAAGATTGTTTAATAAAGGTAGAATATTTAATGAATGAACTGTATACTTAAACTGATTGTATAAACAATACATGAAAACAAATATGAATTAATAGACCATTTATCGTTTGAATAAAATACTCTCAGTAGGTTGTTTTTTGTTTTTTTTGTTGTTGAAAAATTAAGGGTTTATATGATAAAAAATCAGTGACATCAATGTTGCTATAGTATTGTTTGAACTTGTGAAACTAATCATTTCATTTATTGTACTTACTTTAATTTAATATAGAGTTTTTCTTTTGAATAGTTTATTTCATAATTCTGTGAGTTGATATAGAATTGTTTTTTGTTTTTTTTTTAGGTAAACTAATATTTAATTACTTTTATACTTGTATTCATTGGGTAGCTATTTCAGGTTATGTAGGAAGTTTATACATAAAATGGTAAAGTATGTTCATATTTAAGACGATGTATACATTCTATTGAAATCGTTTGGTTTATAAATAGTATTGTGCCTAATCTATAATACATAGATCTTTTAATGATTTTAAGTTTTATTAAATAAAAACGATATATAGAGAACATTATACTTGCCATAGCAACATTAAGATACTATATTCTAGTTAAAATTGTAATTGCATATTTATAAAGAATATTTAAAAGATATAGTTCCATTGTTCATGTAACCGATCAAAAAGAGAGTGAAAGCAAAAAAAATTAATGATTCCTCTGGGATGATTAAAGCTAAACGATAAGAAATCCTGAAACTAGATCTTATACAGGTTGATACTCATTGTTAAAGTGTATCCTTAGTCTCTAAACAATTGATAAATGATGTTGGATTACAACCTGCTTTATAGAAGCAGATACTGTAATGGTATAATCACATAGAAAGATTAGTAAGTAATAAGAAAGATAAGGGAAGACATATAGTATATAGACTTGAATTTCTTAATTAAAAAGTAGTCATGAAATATATTAGTAGTAAATTCGTTTCACAAGAAAAAATACATTAACTTATACTGTAAAACTTTTAATAAGTAATGGTCACATATATGATGAAAAGAATTTAACTAATACTTACCTATCCAACGCAATAACACGACCTTCATAAACGGAGTTCAATATTTTTGATACAGATTCATCAATATAACCCTATAAAAAATAGTGAATAATTTTAGTTTTAAGGAAATATATACATATGTATATATATCTTCAACAATGTAAAGAAGAAGGAAGCCCACTACTATTTGATAGGTTTCTGTTTTCTATGAGTACAACTTTAAATGATGATTCTCTGTTGATCGATTGACTTTAGTTTACAGATTATTCAGTTATGCAATTTCTTACGCGTTCACTTTCGCTTACTATTAATAATGCTATTTTATACTCTTTAATTTCCTACGATAGAGAATACACTAAATGATCCATATACATATATATGCTTGACAGCGGTAGTCGAACTAACGAAATAAGAGAGCTAAATGCTTGTCGACTAAAATATGTCAACATAAACACTTAAATGAAGAGTGTTATTCTGAACGTGTTTGAAATCCTTCTCATCAATATAACCACAGGTCATTCACATTTGAAATCAATGTTCATGTAAACCAATTACATTAGTATTGTGGTTATTCATATATTTGTAGACCCGAGCTTTATACTATAATTGATATATCTATTTGTAATGTGTATTTCGTTTAAACGGTTTAATTCTTCCCTTATTATTATTATCGAAACTATAAATCCATCAGATTAGTATAGGGTAAGCTATAACTAACAAACGATTGACAGAAATTAAAATTTATCTTTCAAAGATATAACAACAACTTAGTAATTGATAACTCCAATCTCTTTCAATATTTATCAATATGTTTACATATCTATCAATATATATATATATATATATATATATATATATATATATATATTTGTAAACTATAAGCAAAGATGGATAGTGCCTAGCAGTGGAATCCAGGACACGAGTTTCGTCCTATTTGGGACTCGTTAGCTAGATGTACCTACATCTCAGAGTTGATGTTTACTCTGGTACGCGAGTCCTGGATTCCACTGTTAGTCACTATCCATTTTTGCTTATAATGCTTGTAAATTAAGGCTATATTGAGGCAATACGAATAGTATGCACATATGTCAATAAGAGACTGATCAATTTTAGTCCTAAACATCAATGGGAAGATTCAAGTAAAACAATATCAAGTGTATTTGTAAACTACCTTTTTAGTTTATCTTTATAATCATTTAGTATTCACAATGTAAAATAATTGTTGCTGTCAATCCAAACACTTACGTTTTTCTTGATTTCATTTAAACGTAACTCAGAATCACTTATGACAGTGTGACAGCAATGTATGTATGTATATATGCATATATACTTCTATAATCATATAACGAAATTAATAAACATCATTAAACCAGCTTATGTCAAAGAAGCAGTTAACTGAACACAGAAATCACAAAGGATATTTCCTAGAAATTTAACTAATTATCTTATGTAATTAAAACGAATAGATTGATAGAAATCGGATACCGAGTATAAGGGAATTATTATATGCGAAAATTATATTTGAAATAATCTCATCGATTGAAATTTAAAATAATCCCAACGTTTCGTCCAGCAAACTTATCTGATCTTCTTCAGCGTACCCGGAGATTATTTCAGATATAATTTGCACATATAACATCTTATGTGATGCTTTATTCCAGAGTAAACTGTTTGGTGGTCTAACATCGATCGGTTCATGATCTTAATCAAAAACTTAATATTCTCCATAATCTGATACTGATAATTATCATGTGCTCACTAGTGACTAGATTCGTAGAGGATATCTAGGAGTTCTAGTGATATGACGTGACCAGTGCAGCTAATCCGTGTCGGGTAGAGACAAGTATCTACCTCAGTATAATAGATGGTCACTCAATTCCATGGATTGGTTGAAGTTAGACATGAACACTGTTGGATGCCGGCCGGTTGGCTCAGTAGTCTAGTAGGTTAGGCGTTCGCACGCAGGACCGAAAGCCCTCGGTTCGAATCCTGCGAGGCAGAACCAAGGATGGTCTCTACTGAGGAGTCTTGCAATAGGACGAAACTGCCTGTTCAGTTCTTCCAGGTTTTCACTAGTGGTCTAATATCCATCGATTCATGATTTCAATCAAAAATAAAATAAAATTTTTGGTTTTCATTTTTGTTACACACTACTGTTTATTCTAACTATAAAACTATTTTCCGAAAGAAAGAAAAAAAATGGTAAAATTGATACAGTATCAACTGAAGTGGAAAAGAAATGATTTAAAGGGAAAAAAAATAGATATTTTATGTATGTTGATTGTGTGTAGTTCACTTAGATGATTTTTTGATAAATTACATTTCATTTGTTTTTAATCATACAAAGCATCACGTGAATTACAAAAGATGAAATTTATGTACTAATCTATTATATCCGGATGAAGAATAAATGAATGGTAACTGTTAAGATCTATTTATGGACTGTTATTGTATATATAGGCTTATTGTATAACTATGAAGTAACTATATTATATGTATATTCATATTCATTTTATTATAAGCTTCTATTTGATCTATTGACTACTACTATACGATTTAATATTCTGAAGTTGTTCTCAATCTATTAGTTACAATCTTTTACATTCACATCCATTTTCAGCTTGATCTTGTATAACTGTTACGTTCTATTTATGGTATGATGTAGTCCGGTTTGTTTGTATATAAACTAAATATGTTTGAATTATACGATTCATTCGGTGGAAGCTGAGATGTGTATATTGTCAGTCAGTCAGTTACAACGTAGGACCAAGCACATACATGCATTGGTACAAGTTGCGATACCGCATTAGCACCGCAAGATGAACACCCGATTCAAAGGAGTGGTTAAGTCAATGGTGGTAATATATAAACGAAAGATTGCATATAAGGAGATAGTACAGAAACAAAGAATTAGTACGTAGAAAGAAATATATGAAGCGATTTTAATCTCATAGTTTAAGAGAAGACAGAGAGTGTATACACCTACTCCATTGTGATTGATTCTGAGCCATGTCATCAAGAGTCTCAAATTATTGGTTACGATAGTCACGCGGACTCCAGCCAAGTAGTCTGCATCTGCCAACATGGCTCAGACTAGAAGTTAGTGACTTTATGAACCGATGCCACGTTTTGGTTTGGCTGTCCCTAACTTTCTTTCAACCATCCCCAATACCGGTTAGCATTGCACGTCGTGGCAATCGGTGTTCAGGCATACGTAACACGTGGTCCAACCATCTCAGTCGATGAAGATTTACAACCTCAACTGTGATATCTGTACTCAAACGGACAGGGCTAGACAAGAAGAACCATTAAGAGCTCAGGGTAGTTTCTAGGCCACTTGTACAAGTTAACACGTCATTGGTTTGGCACAGTATCAGGGTCATACAAGTTAGTGGTCTAATTGTCTATCTTGCCATTTGATAATTAACAAGTCATAGAAACACAACATAACCAAAATAAAAACAAATTTTTTTCAGTCCGTTCATTATTATTGAAAAAAATCATTTCATTTTATTTAACAAATTTGTTAGTTACTTTAAAACATGTCATCAGATTGTGAATGCGCACTGCTGAGGTGTCCCATAATAGGACGAAACGGCCGTTCAATGCTTCCAGGTTTTCACCAGTGATCTAACATCAATCGGTTCATGATCTCAATCATCAGATTTAATTAGTTTTGACCACAGTAACTTAGTAATAATCAGAGATAGTTAAAATGAATATGAGGACAGTGAATAGACAATAATTTATCGAATTTTGTAATGATAACTTACCGAACCCCAATTTAATGCTCTAGCTAAATCATTTCCAGTACCTATTGGTAATACAGCAACTGGTGGTATTGTATTAAAATTCATTGAATCAATAGTAGAAAATATCCAACCAACTGTACCATCACCACCACATACTAGGATACGTAGATTTGGTACACGACTGAACAATTCTAAACTATAAAAAAAATTAAATGAAATCATAGTAGATTTAATGAATTAAACAGAAATAATATAAACAGTTGAAATCATGAGTCAATTGAAGCTAGATCACCACAGAAAACCTGGAAGCATTGGACTGCCGTTTCGTTCTAGTAAGGGACTTCCCAGCAGTTCAAATTCACGATCCTGCCCCCCGTGAAACTCGAACTCAGGACCTATAAGTCTCGCGCGCGAGCGCTTAACCATTAGACCACTGAACCGGCTGGCATTCAATGATGTTAATGTTTAACTTCAATTTAAATATTTTACATTATCGATTTTAAAATTTCCATTTAAAGAAAAATGTAAATTACAATTTTGAATGCAGAAAGGAAACAATGTACTATGTTCACATGACAAAATATGATTCTTTTTTAAATTAAATCAAATTGTGTTATCAAATATGAATAAAAACTATGTTAGTGCGGGAACATTCTACATTGATGTTTAGGAGTTTATTTGATTATTTTATTTTGTATAAGTTGAACTTCTACCCGGAGATTCACTTGTTGACATAGTTCTATTTGTTGAAGAAGCTGACAAAATGAAGAGTCTTCTGACCACTCTAAGCAACAATAAATGGACTGAGCCATGATGGTAGGTGTAGGCTGCCTGGTTGGGGACCACGAGATGATAGGAGCCGATGGTTAGAGACCCTGAATGACATGGCCCGAATTCGTTTGCAATGACACAAGTCCATTCACTCTTTGTGTTCTCCCAAATTCTAATCTTCTGAATTCTTCATGTCCCTTCCCTTTTTCTCTTTTCAAATTTATTTCACTGGATTATACTCTTTGAATAAAATCTTCAAAGCCTAATCTTTTCGATATCTGCTTATACTCTTACTACCTCTACCACTACAAGATTTGAATCGACAATTGTATCTCTGTGCTAATGTGGTATGGCAATTCGAACTGATGTACGTACGTACGAAGTTCTACGTTGTTACTGACTGACTATCTTGATGTTGCACATTAAGATAACGAGCCACAAATAAAACGTAACATATATCCTGGATTCTACTGTTAACTATCGTACAATTCCACTCATAGCAGTATTTTAGGCTTTAAAAGTTACATTTAATAGTTGTTAAATCTTTTAACTGAACACCTGTATCAATTTCCTAAGCTCTTTTAATAACCCAGTCTAAATCTACACTGCTAATATTACCAGGGTACGTTTAAGGTGAGAACAAACTGGTTTTGAATACACAAAGGGGCTTTGAATTTTCGTATGGCTAAGGCTTCAATACGACCAGTGTAGCAGCAGCTTCAAATGCAACAGGTCTCAATATACACAAAGGGAAGAGCAACACTCTCCGATACAACACAGCATGCACCAATCCAATCACAATTGACGGAGAACATTTGGAAGATGTAAAAACCTTTACATATTTGGGCAGTATCATCGATGAACACGGTGGATCTGATGCAGATGTGAAGACACGGATCGGAAAAGCAAGAGCAGCATATTTACAACTGGAGAACCTCTGGAACTCAAAACAACTGTCTGTCAACGAACAACAAGGTCAGAATTTTCAGTACAAATGTCAAGACAGTTCTACTGTATGGGGCGGAAACCTGGAAAACCACGAAAGCTATTATCCAAAAGATACAGGTGTTTATTAACAGTTGTCTAAACAAAATACTTCGGATCCGTTGGCCGGGAACTATTAGCAACAACCTACTATGGGAGAGAACAAATCAAATCCCAGTGGAGGAAGAAATCAGGAAGAAGAGGTGGAAGTGGATAGGACGCACACTGAGGAAAGCACCGAACTGAGTCACAAGAAAAGCCCTCATATGAAATCCTCAATGCCAAAGGAGAAGAGGAAGATCAAAGAACACATTACTCCGAGAAATGGAGATAGACATGAGACGAATGAACAAGAATTGGATGGAACTAGAAAAGAAGGCCTAGGACAGAGTGGGTTGGAGAATGCTGGTCAGCGGCCTATGCTCCATTGGGAGTAACAGGCGTAAGTAAGTAAGTAAGTAAGGCTTCAATAAACCTTAGTATACACCCTTTTGCACTTTTGTACAACACTACAAAAGCCGAGTTTAGATCAGTCTTACGAACTTTTATGTGATTGAAATTTAAATAATCCCAACGTTTCGTCCAGCCAACTTGTCTGAACTTCTTCAAGATAATAATCAAAATTTCTGTCAAACTATTTTTTCTAATTTTGACGAACATTCATATAAATCTTATGATATGTTACCGTTATGTGTTTGGCAATAGAGGATGATGGATGCTTATCCTCTACTCTTATTGGATGATTTGATTTTATTTGTTTCTGCAACCATTTAAGTACCTGCTCACACACACCCTAATTTTGAAATAGAACTTTTATACTTTTGCTTGGGCACATGGATTTTAATGTAATTACGTCTCGTTCTACCAGAAGATATACAAGGAGAAAGATATGAATGAAAGGGATCGTGTTTGGTCACGATAAGCATAATGAATGGTAACTTTTGAGATCCGTTTATGAATCAATACTAAACGTATATTCTTATCGTATAATTGTTAAATAACTAAACTATTCATATTCATGTTCCTTTTATTATGAGCCTTCTTTTGACCTATGGACTATTATTATACGATTTACAATTCTTGAATTATGCCCTATCTATTAATTACTATCTACCACATTCACAGCCACTTTTGGCTAGATCTTGTACAAATGTTACTTTCTATTTTATGGTACGTTGTGGTCTATTTAATTGATATATAAACACCGTATGCTTCATATCGCAGAAGCTGAGATTGGTGTTTTGACCTAACTGGCTGAGCTAGGCAGAGAGTAGGACCAATCAGGACTCTAGACTGCTAGTAGATGTTTTGTGCGTCACTGGTCCGATCAATAATTCACTGCTCTCTAATTCGTGGTATCATTACGTACACATTAACAGGGCACTCAAGCCACAAGTTATAACAGATGGTTAGTATCTGATATGATAACACCTGCCAGGAGTTTGCATGAATTTAGATGTCTATCCACAACCATATTAATAATGACCCCGAAAGATTCACCACACACTTTGCTAACAGCCTTGAGCAATCTCCGCAGTACGTCAAAGTCTTTTCTCAAAAGCGCTGGAAAGAATAGTGGAAAACACTAAAGAATAATAGGTAATATGCAGGAATTTACAAATTGTAAGAGTAAATGACGAGTAATCCCAAAAGCATGCAGCCTCTGTATATAGTAAGTCAGACGGAAAACTTTCTTGGATAACAGTAAAACACAAGAAAACCAATAGAGATCACAGGAAAAGGTAACACCATAATAATTAATCTTCGACACTGTGTTTACCAAAAATTTTCCAATGGCACAAGCATTATGAGATCCCAAAATGGTGTTTAAATTTCGTTCATGTCTCATGCTAAGCTTAACAGCTTAACATTTAAACGGATAAAGTATGAGACCATTAACAACAGACCAACATTCAATACAAGACAAAAACTCATTCATTTCTATAAGATGTAAAGACTTAGAAATTGGCATACATACAGTGAGATCATTCGCATATTTCACAAAAGTTTTTTTGTGGAAGATGGCAGATCATGCAAATATATTGATTACAGGCGGCCTGCTTGAATATCTAGGCTACCTGTTCCTGCCATCTGAATATTTCAACAAGTTATCTGTTTTCTTGTTTGTTTTAACACATCATTATGCCTATTAGTTTCATAACTTATTCAGGTGCGTTTGTGAAAAGTTTACAACATTTCTCTGTACAAGTTGCAAAAGAGCTCAATCAGAGACATCTTGGTTACTGGCAATATGCATCGAAAAGGATATACATTTATCAGATGTCGATTCCTGAATCGCTAACATTTAACTGGAGACCACTCAATATTTATCACAAGGAACTGATCAAGAAATAAGAAAGGGAAACTTGTTGAAATACTTTGTGCTGAGAATTCTATATTGTACCAAAAATATAATATTGAATAAATCCACTAATAATCATAATAATAGTAATTATTATATATATATGCGCAAAATAAAACCCTTTTTCTAGCATATGTAAGCATTACTTGCCAGTTTATTATAAATTTTATTTGTTTTAATAAACTTCATTAAAACAAGTGTCAATTAACTATAAGAAATATATATATGCACGTTTCATTCTATTTGGGATTCATCAGCTAGATATACCTGCATCTCAGAGTTAATATTCACTCTGGGACTCGAACTCAGTACTGTTCGTTTCAAACATCATTACATTATCCATATTAGCTACTGAATTCTAATAACCACTTGCTTGTGCAATAAAGTAAAGTTTAAATTCATTTGGTATTGTTTGTTTGTTTGAATCTTCCCATTAATGATAGGCACTCCAATTGATCAATCTCTTATTAGCATATGTACATACTGTACTTATTACCTGAATTCACAATTGCAATCTTAATCATCATTAAGAAGATACAAGTAAAAACAATACCAAATGAATTGATAAGAATTTTTTTTCCTTTTTTTTCCCCATTTGAAATTTCAATACGAAAAAAAACAAAAAAACGAAAAAAAAACTAAAAAAAACAAAAAAAGGTAGTCTGAAATTTACAAAAAAATATTCAATGTAAAAAAAATTATTGATTGATTTACCCCATTTTTGGTCCTCCTTGTGATACATCAAATACTTGACGTGGATTTAATAACCATTGAAATTTTTTTAATAAATTTATACCTTGATTTCCACCAGATTTTGGATTAAGAAATACTAATAATGGTTTTAAACAAACATTATTGATTGGATTTGTTTTAATAACAAATGATATATTAGATTTTATATAAATATTTGATTGACTAATTGAAATTGATTGTTTATCTTCATGACTTGTTGTAATAGTTGTCATAGAAGTTAATTGATCTGATATATTATTAATTAATTGATTTGAATAATTAAGATTATCTGGACGAGAATATGATGAACGAATATGACATGTATCTGTTTGATAATTTGTTAAACATGAAGGTGTAACAAAACTATTTGATCGACATATTGATGTAGATGTTATTGGTGATGATGATGCTGATGATGATGATGACGAGGAGGAGGTGGATAATTTGTAATTATTCTGGAAAAATGAATATAAATAATTAAAAGTATAGTGATAATAAGAAATAGTAAAGACAATATATGAATATAAAATTAATTTCCATAGTTGAAATCATAAATCAATTGAAGCTAGATCACTGTAAAAAACCTAGTAGCACTGGACAGCTGTTTTGTCCTAGGATAGGACTCCTTAGCAGTGCGCATCCACGATCCCGCTCACCCCCGCGAGATTCGAACTTAAGACCTATCAGTCTTGCGCGTGAGCGCTTAACCATTAGACCACTAAGCCGGCTGGCATGCAGTGGAATTAATGTTTAACTTCGACCAATCCACGAAATTGCGTTGCCATACACCATTGTCTTCAGTGAGTTGATATCTCACAACACATCTGGTTGAATTTCACTGGTCAAGGCTTCTTACTAGAACTCTAAGAAATGCCTCTTGAAGAATTTATACTGTAATACAACAAATGCAATTATGTTTAATTCATGATTTTAGCTATGAAAATTTGATGAGACTATAATTTATGAACGAACTAATCAGGTATAAGATAACTGGTTTCGGATTTCGGAACAAAATTCACTCATCTATTTGGATAAATATAATTTTTGTATTAAAGCTGATGTTAGTTCGTGATGAAAACCCTTAAACATCAACGGTAAATCACAATTCAAAGTCCTCATACAGGTTTATAACTCTCATTTGGTTCTGTTTATTAAGTGGACACTATCAAGGTCATTCCAGTGTCGCTCAGTGGTCATCCATAAGTTATAGTCTCACTGAAAATTCTATAAGCTCTCTATCCTATATGAATGTACATTTGGTAAATGACTGAAATGATATCAAACAAGGTATTATACAGAACTTATTTAAGGAAGATGATATTCATTTCACCATTGAAAATACTTCTTAATACAATATATTGAAAGAATATCGCTTAAACAACGTAAATATTTTACATTACAGTTTGTATTTATTAACAGGAAAAAAACTAATTTGTGTATTGATTCGATTTGATGGTTATGGATAAATGATGAACAGTAATTGATCTAAGCTTCGTATCAATGTACACTTATCAATAGTCATGAATAAACTGATACTCATTGCAGAATTCCAAGACACGTTATCTATCATCTCAACTAAATACAATATGAATAAGTGATCTATGTTATAGACAACTTTCTAAATGTTATATTTAATATAAAGTCATAATATCAGTAACGTTTTGCACCTCAAAGATACTTATAAATAAATCTATATCAATGAATGTATATGTCATTTAATGTATTTATTATCAGTATAGGGTTGTAGAGATTATTAAGTTTTTTTGATTAAGATCATGAATTGATTGATGTTAGATAACCAATGAAAACATGGAAGCATTGGACGGCCATTTCGTCCTACTGTGGAACTCCTCAGCAGTGCACATACACGAACCCGCTCGCGGGATTAGTATTTATTGTTTGAATGATGTAGATAACTTGTCAACTGTTGAAATTGAAGTCATTAGGTCTAATTAAAAAAACGTTTGATCAATGATGCTCATAAATGTCGTAATCACTTTCCAGTTACATCGTAGCCTGATTATTATCGAAATATACATGACACCAATTCTCATCTATTTTCATCAACTAAAATCACATTAGTGAATAACGAAATTAAATAGGTTAAATACGAGAATGAAGTTTGGATACGTATATTTTGTACAATCATTGATCTAAACGGACAATCACAAAAACCAAATTGAGAGAGGGAAGCGAAGGCATGTGAGCCAACTCGATTTAATCAAGCGTGGCTCAATATTTGTAGTCAAACGAAAATAAGTTAAACATGTGATAAATAGGATAAGCAGTTAATAGACATGCGTTTATATAAAAATAGTCAAGATTAATAAGCGAATAGGTAACAAGGTCACAATATGGTTTAGGAAAAATGTGTCCAGAAACTAGAATAACCTATGTGAACTTGACAATATAAACTAGACAATACGAGCACTGCTAGGGTTACTGCCGTTTTCAAGCCTTGTTAAACGAGGTAATTTAGGTATCTGGTCAGCAACCCATCCCAGGACCTTCTATTTCGTGCGCGAATGGTTAACTTCTAAACCACTGAGACATCATCCAACGGTGTTAATATCTAAATTCAATCGATTCATGATCTTGCTCAACTCCACAAGTCATAGCTCATAGTTATCTAATTACATGTATAGAACACAATGAATCGATTTTTAAGTGTTTACTAAAAATATTGATTGATCACCGTATTTCTCGAATAGTTTATTGTTTCTTGATAATTTTTGTAAAAAACAAAAATTAATATCAATAACGTTCACCTCTCTGTGAATAACATTAAACTGTTGAACTAAACGTTAATACATTCAACAGTATCATTTGCATGTTAAATGTTAGTTACATAATAAAGAAACTATGATAGTTACATTTAAATTATGCGAAATAATGTCAATCGTTTTTTTTGTTTTTTTTTTAAAAAAAAAACAACATGAAACTCATTAGAAAATTATTGGCTAATTTTAGTGGGATCATGGATGCGCACTGCTAAGGAGTCCTACAATAGGACGAAACGACCATCTAGTGCTTCCAGGTTTTCTATGGTTGTCTAGCTACAACTGACTCATGAGTTCAACTGTTATAGCTTTAGCTTGTTCAATATGTATTCGTATCTAATTATATTTATTTTCTATCCATTTAAAAGTTATTTTTACTTATAAGCTGATATTTTTAGTCCATTATGATGAATTAACGATTTAATATAAGTTTTGTATATGCTACTTATATAGACAGATATAAGTAGTATTCAATACTAATCGGAAGTGGAAAATTGGCAGCGAAAATCTACGAAGATTGATTGAAATAAAATAGAAAAGAAATTAGAAAGGAATTGTAAATTAGAAGAATCATACAGAATATAAAGGACAAATGATGGAAATTTGTAAATAAAGCATTCAATGTACTCTTCTCATATTTTACTAACATTTGTAGAGGATATTTAGATAAGAACAATGAGTAAAATCATCTTCAGTGAGAAAATCCTATCAAATCTTTGATATGATATGTAGTGATATTGTTAAATTTTTCTCACCCAATATTATTGATAATTATTTTGATGATTAATTACACAATTCCATTAAAAATTTAAACTTAACCATTTCAATGCTAATATATCTCAATAATTGAGATCATGAGTCATTTGAAGCTAGACCACCATAGAAAATCTTGGAAACACTGGATGACCGTTTCATCCTAGCATGGGACTCCTCAGCAGCAAGGATCCACGATCCCACCTTGTGGGATTCGAACCCAGGACCTATTCATATTTGTATTTTCCAAACAATTGAAAATACACATGCTATAATTTTCAATAATCTATGCATCTTTGATGCAATTACTCTCATTCAGATTATTAATTATATTATTCTATAATTTACATCAAACTATTGAGAATCAATTGAAATGAACATAAATCATTCATAATAAATATATTTTTTGTTAGATCTCAATGAGTAGAAAGACTGTATTTCTGATGTTTTGTAATTTAGTGTAAACCACTTTTTCATCGTAAATAAATAATTCACTTTTTATTTAATACTTAATTTATTTGAAACTACCAAGTATAGGCTTGGTATTGATATCTTATAAATTATAGTGAACGAGAACACAACTAGAGACAAACCAATATATGTGGTTACAAAATTACAGAACATATTAGTAAAATCTGAGAACTATATAGTAAATACTTCATTTACAAAATGTTAACCAATCGTCTCAGACTTCATTGTTTTTTCGTTTCCACACCAATCATTCTCTGTTCTTTTTCTCTTTACTTTGATCATCTTAACCTTCTGCAACTAGGCATTTCACATTCGACTGGTGATACATACTACTTATATATGTCAATATCATAATATTATCTGTTTTAAAATGATAATTCATTAATAAGACATAAATCAATGCCAGAAAAAATCTATCAATTTTTTTAAATCAATAAGTGTACACTACCAAAATGTACATGTGTTGATGGGTTTTCCACTTTAATGGCCCTAGATCTGACTCCAAGTAAATTATATGAATGTTTGTTATCGCCTATCCTCGTATATAATCATTGACTTAAATCGCGTTATTCGATAACGGAATTAAATAAGTCAAATAATCAGAGTGGACTTTTGAATACATATATTTTGTATATGAAGCGAATGGGATAGAGAGAAGTGAAACAACGCACAGTGGAGACGGCGGATAAGCCAACTTAATTTAGTTAAGCGTTAATCAATATTTATAGTTACACAAAAATAAGTTACAGACATGTGATAAGTAGTGGGATAAGAGGTGTACACACACATATGCGCTCATAAAAAACAGTGAAGATTGATAGGCGAATAATTAACAAGGTCAGAATGTGACTCAAGTAGAATGAATAGATTGAGCTGTCCGAAAGCTAGAAGATGTGCTTGACATAATAATCGACAGAGAACGACTGTATTTTATCTGAATACTTTTTAAAGTAAAACAAGGTTACTTTTGTAAATGTGATTTATTAACAACAACAACAACAAAAAAGAAAAGAAACAAAAACAAAAGAAGTGAAAAGTACAAATTTAGGTGTTGTGGAGATTGTCAAGTTTTTGATTGAGATCATGAACCGATTGATGTTAGACCACCATTGAAAACCTGGAATCACTGGACGGCCGTCAAGTCGGTTCATGATCTCAATCAAAAAAATCATGTTAGGTTAGAGAAAATAAACGTTATCATTAGTCTATGGCGTTATTTTTTAATATGAAACTAAATTACCCAAGGTAATGACCATGAAAGTATATTAATGAAATCAAAAGTTAGCTGTTTATTCCTTATAAATTAATTTGATTTTAATTGCTTCTATTTAATATAGCTTATTTCACTTGGCAATGTCACCTAGTTTAGGATCAGGTTGAAAGTAAACTAATGGCGGTCAAAATCAAAACACGGAATCAGATCATGAAGTCATTGACAATTGGATTGAACCATACTAATACATGTAGACTACCAGATTGAACAAACAAGTCAACCATAACAATCGTACAGTTAAACTGGTAAGTTGTAAGGTAAGAAACTATTAGTGTGTTACTTTACATCTCATTCATTCAAGTCAGTTTTCTAAAAAATGTACTGTTATCATAATTACCATTGATATTGTTATACTTAGTTACTATACTCAGTGACTAGAAAAATTCTCCTACTATGTATTTTTCATTCCCATGATTTATTTTATCATTATACTTACTTTACTCTGACACCCTACTCTAACTCTTTATGAATAGTCTTCTTAGTCGAAAAGTGACACATTTTCGAGGTATTTATTCCGTAACAGAAGTAAAAGTTCACTTTTTTTTAGAATTAGACTATCGAACTCATTAGCATGATTTATACTGGATTCATATGACAACTATCAAACTTATTTACAAAATTATTAAATACAGTTGTTTGCTTCAATATTCATTGTTTTCAAATTATCATAGTATGTGTATGGAAAATATTATTTGAAAAACAATCTATGATGTAACTGATCTACAAATATGGAGTGTGCTACTTGTTTCGACTTAAGTAGTATATAATGCCAATCAGGAATATAATGTCTGATAGTAGAAGCTCTAGAAGATCGAAAAGGAAAGAACGGGAACAGAAAGCAATTAGTATAAAAATGCAGGATTAATGAAGTCTGAAATGATTGATTGACATTTTGCAAATTAAGTAATTACTGTATCGTTCTCAAATTTTACTAAGAGATTCTGTAATTTTGTACTCGATTACATCCGATTGCTATCAGTAAACGTTTTTGTGGATATTATGATAATTTTAATAGTTGAGATCACGAGTCAATTGAAGCTAGATCACTATGAAAAACCTGGAAGCATCTTTTTGATGCCGGCTCAGTAGTCTAGTGGTTTAGCGATCGCGCGCGAGACTGACAGATCCTGGGTTCAAATCTCACGAGGTGAAGTCGTGGATACGAACTGTCAAGAAGTCCCACAATAGGATGAAACGGTTGTCAAATGCTTCCAAGTTTCCTATGGTGGTCTAGCCTTAATTCACTTATGATCACAACTATTAAAAAAAAAACAACATTCGATTGCCTTCAATTGTGTTCTCGTTTACTAAACAAATCCTATTAACTTGACAATTTCAGTTTTCATATTTTTACTTGTTATACAACATGAAGTTTTGTTGTAAGCAGTTGATAATATGGTTTCTAGCATTTAAATTATATATATATATTTACATATATATATATATATATATTTAAAGGGAAAACTCACTCGTTCAGTTAATTTAATAATCCAATCAGGTGGAACAATTAAACCTGAATATGGTCCTAATGAACATGGTTCAGTTAAATATGATTCACGAAAACAAGTTGATTTATTATGATAACCTATTTTACACCAAGTGCATTGAATCGTTATATATTCCTAATAAAATAAATTGTAAGTAGATATAAAAAAGAAAGATAATTTTTACAAGTGAAAAATAAATAAAAAAAAACAACATTTGGTTTTTAAATTTATAGAATAACATAAACATTTCAAATGCTGAAGAGTTTCATACTAGGACGAAACGGCTGTTCAGTACATCCAGGTTTTCTATGATGGTTTAGCTTCAATCAAATCATGATTTCAACTATTGAAGTGAGGAGAGGTAGATGATGATTTGTACTTCAGGTATATACTCTTCATATTGTTCAGTTCATTAGTTTAAATAACTTAATTGGTAAGTTTTCACTGTTATTCTTAACAATATTATGAGTATTTAATTGACGTAAAAGTAAATTTCTTAATTAATTTGTTGTAATGATGTCTTTTGTGGCCGGTTATCATTAAGTGGTTGGCTTACATTCGAATGTTTTTTTTAATCAAAGTGAATTACTCTGTTCCATTGGTTATTGACCATCATTTTGATTGATTTTTTCGAATAGTTTGATAGATTGAATCTAATTAGATGTATATACTGATTACTGATTGATCTTGATATCAAGATTCCAGGTATTGTCAGGTCTAGTTGCAAGATTTTCACGTCTTCTCAGTTGAATTTATGTCTATAGTCGTCTAGATCAGTTGCTATCAATGATAACATATTGTACTGTATCATCAATATATTTTATTCGTATATGCGTAAATAAACAGGTCATTATGCTAGTATGGGATTCCTCATTAGTGTGCATTTACGATCCTGCCTCGCGAAATTTGAACACATTGAACTACTATAATATCTACAAAAAACCCCTCCCTAATTAGAACTTATTACCAGTTAATGTTCACAGTTGAGATTGTAGATTATCGAGAGAGAGAGAGAGGGAGTAAAAATTACCTCGTAAAAATCTTTAGATATGGATTATATCTTTTCACTCATTTTGTATTATTATTATTATTATTATTATTATTATTATTATTATGTATATTAGTTATAAACGCAACTAGAATAAGAAATAAGGCAAATACGATTTGATAATGATTTTAATATATGAACATATTGATGATTAGTTTTTTCATGATTAACTAATATAAATTATACAGTCAACTACATTGAAGAAGTTATGTTCATTTATTTTGTGTTTTCTTAATAATAACATATAGCCCTAGTCCGAAATTCATAAAGGCGACCTGCTTGAATATCTGAGCTATCTGTTCCTGTCATCTAGATATTTCAACAAGTTATCTGTTTCTTTTGTTTGTTTTAACATATCATTAATTGCACAACCTAATTAGTTCATAACCTTTCGTTGTACATGTTATAAAAGACCCCACTTAGAGACATCGTGATTGTTGGCAATATACATCGAAATGAATGTACATTATTTTAGAAGTCGATTCTTGAACTGCTAACATCTAATTAGCGATTGCTCAATATTTATCGTCAGTATCGACCAAGAAGTAAGAAAAGGAAACTTGTTGAAATACTTTTCTCTGAGAATTCTATATTGTACCAAGACTATAACATTGAATAAATAATAAAATAAATGGATAGAAATCACAAATATAAGACACCCCCAACTATCATATCACAAAACTAATCATCCTAAACAATCTTTCATTGTTTATCGTATGAAAGAATAATCCAAATAATTGATTAATCTAAAATAACGGGTATATACTGATCATTTTACGATAAAGTATTTGTGAATGAAATTTATATTATCTTATTCAGTGAAAAATTGAAAATATGAGTCAATTTTGAAACGAAAAAAATATTTCAGTGGTTGAAATCATGGGTCAATTGAAGCTAGACAACCATAGAAAACCTGAAAGCACTGGATGGCGGTTTCGTCCTATTATGGGATTCCTCAGCAGTGCGCATCCACGATCCCGCTCAACCCCGCGAGATTCGAACCCAGGACCTACCAGTCATGCGCACAAACGCTTAACCTCTAGGCCAATGATCCAAGAAATCGATCGACACATCCACCATATTTGTTTTTTTTCCAATATCTTTTCAGATGTTAAACAACATCAAAGATAATATTACTTACTTTAGAAGAAAATCCCAGTATTGATTGTAAAGACTAAAAATCAAATCAATATAAAGTAGAATGGTATCAAAGTCAGTAATAGAAAACAATCTCTTTATTAGTCTTAAAGTAAAAAGTAATTCCCTGTAACAAAAATATAAAATGAGTTCTGTTTATATTCCCCTTTGTCTATCTATACATTTTGGAATAATGTTTTGAGAAACATACACACACATACATACATACATACATACATACATACACAATTCAAATGACAATAGTACCATAATTAATAATGGCAACAACAACAACAAGTAAAACAACCAACAACTAGATAGTTATGTTTTCTAAAGAACTAAGACAATTTAATTTCTTTCTTTAAAAAAAAAACCAAATACTTTCATTTTCTCAATTTATCTATTACGTAATCAAGCAATAAATGCTTGAAACAATGACGTATTATAATGTAAAACATATGTATAGTTTATTTTATTATGATGGTATGATTAAAATGATGTTTATAGATAGAAAAAAAATCTTGAATGACTAATAGTAAAATATTATCTAGTTATATATATATCTCTATCCATCTAAATAATCAAACCATATTATCACAAGGATTAGAAAGTAAGAAAATGGAGAACAAAGAAAACAAAATGATGTAGTAACAATCATAATAGGAAAGATTAAACAATAAGATTATAGTTGAAATCATGAATCAATTGAAGCTAGACCACCATGGAAAACCTGGAAACACTGGACGGACGTTTCGTCCTAGTATGGGACTCCTCAGCAGTTCACATCCACGATCCCGCCCCCCGCGGGATTCGAACCCAGGACCTTTCGGTCTCACGCCAGGCGCTTAACCATTAGACCACTGAGCCGGCATCCAACGGTGTTAATGTCTAACTTCAACCAATCCACGAAGTTGCGCCACTGTCACCATTGTCTTCAGTGAGCTGATATCTCACAACAGACCTGGTTGAACTCCACTGGTCACGGCTTCTCACTAGAACTCCAGGAGTATCTCTTGAAGTCAGTCACTAGTGAGCAGATGATTATTACTAGAATTTCAATAGTTTCTAGGTTTTCCATGGTGGTCTAGCTTCAATTGATTCATGATTTCAACTATTGAAATTACCAATTCTCCACAAAACCCATTCTAGTAATAAGATTATAGTTCATAACGATAGAATGAATAAAGCATCTATGAAGTACTATTGGGACTCAAAGTCTTATGAAAGAGTAACAGCATTTGAACTATTGTGAAAATTTTTTAAGAAATGTTACCTGAAATCTCCAATCATCCAAACAGATTGTTTACAACTATAAACATAGTCAAGGCCAACAATTACTGATTTCATAGACTGATGATATGTACTAGTTTGAATGTCTCATGTTTTATTTCAACGTAAACTAACAACTATCGCCCATTAAGGTAAGCAGTGGTTTGATAAATACATAACCCAACCCCCCATCATACTTTCACACCATGTTTTAAAGTCTATCTTATGAAATCACATATTTCGAAAGAACACAGAATAACTAGAAATTTGAGGATCTATCATTATATTGTGGTGTGTACTATTAATGTCGACAGACATAAGTAGTATACAACACCAATCAGAAGTGGAATAGCTAGCAACAGAAGCTTGAGAAGATTGGATCAATGAGAATGGGAATAAATAGTAAATGTTATGTAAATGAAGGAACAATGATAATTCAGGCAATTGATGAAAGATTTCCAAATAATGCATTAAATGTATGGTTTTCACGTTTTACCAAAGAACTCGGTGATTTTACATTGAAATACATTGGTTGTTTCCGCTTTTACTCTCGTTCATAGCAAGAGGAAAGATTCTGTTAGACAGCTATCTAGTAAAATGGTCAAATTTCTATCTTTAAATCAAAAGACTATTTGTATACACCATGATATTCTGAATCATTTCAACTTTGAAATTTACTTTGAATAATAAATAATGAATAGAAACAAATAATGATCCATTAATAACAATAATAAATAGAAGGAATTGAACCAAGAAAACTCCAACAATATGCATACCTTTCCACAATGTTTGCATTTTTTATTTTGTTTTCGTCGTTTAACCCAATGATGTGTCGTATACTTCACGAGGAGAATAAAACATAAAAAGAAAATTTATTGATAATTAATTTAAACGGTATATATATAAGTAGATAGATAGATAGACAAAAAAAAGAAGGAAAATTTTTCGAAATCTCATTTACCCCTAATTGCCCCCAAATGCATTGGTACGGCGGAGAGTGAAGAGAGTCAGCTCCCCCTCTCGAAATGCTCTCATATAGCCACACGTATATAGCCTCTGCTAGGGAAGTCCTACTCACTGCCTTCTCCTAGTGGCGGTGTTGTTTACGGAATTGAGAAGACGATAAGCGAATATCCGGCACTTTAACCGGGTTGGTGGACACACCTAGAGGAGTTGAAAAACCATGATTACAAACCAATGGTGCACATGGGCTCTAGTATCCTAAGGGAAAAAATGGCATATGAACTAATCGTTGGTCACCGACTACCATGGGACTGTATCTCATTACATTGCTCTATTACCTTGTGGATCAGACCTTTAGGTCAAAGGCTCCGGATGTGACCCCCTAAGAAAACCACCTACTTCGGTTTAGGCACCCAAACAGTATCACAACATTCACACAAATAAAATGAAATTTGTGTGGCGCATATGTATCTGGTGCCCTCTTGTACCAGTAACTATGTGTTCAAACAAATAATAAATAATTTACCCCATATAAAGTTAACATTGAGTTTATGAAAATGGTCAATTTCAAGTGATCACTTTATACATAAATCGAAAGAAAAAAAAAAACGACAAACAAACAAATTAACACTAAACTGGTAAAAGATTATTGTCCTTAAAGGTTAAATGAATAATTGCAAATCAAATTATAATCATTAATGAAGAAATAAATAATCAACAATAATATTAGACATTGTTCGCTTTAAACCTATTTACTTATTAAGTATTTAAATGAACTCTATTGATATTCAAATCTATTTAAAGGTTAATGTTTACTTTAATAAATTAATGAAATACTTACTAAAACAAATGATTTCAAGTTAAAAGAGAATTATTTTTATTATGATTGAATAAAAGAATTGTAGAATATAGTGTAAGGCCTCTTTTTAGGGGAGGATACAGAAATAATATGTATATTATTAATTGAATTCATAAGTCAATTGAAATTTAATCATTATGGAAAACCTGAAAGCACTAGACGGCCGTTTCGTTCTATCATGGGACTCCTCCTTGACAGTACGCATCCACGATCCCACCTCACGAGATTCAAACCCATGACTTATCAGTCTTGCGTACAAACGCTTAACCAATAGACCACTGAGCCAGCTGGAACCCAACGGTGTTAATGTCTAACTTCAAATAATCCACGAAATTGCGTCACCATCCACCATCGTCTTAAGTGTGTTACTATCGTGATTGAATTTCACTGGTAACAGATTTTCACTAAACTCCATGAAATACCTCTTAAAGACAGTCACTAGTGAGCATATGATGATTATAATCCGAGAGTGTTTTTGGAGATTGTAGTAGTGTAATAATTTAATTCAGGAGACAATTGAAGCTAGAGGAGTCCCATATTAAGATGAAATGACCGTCTAGTGCTTCCACCTCTTCTATGGTGGTCTACCTTCAATTGACTCATGAATTCAATGATTAAATTACTACAATCTCCACAAAACCCCTCTCTGATTATAGTATGTGTTTCTTGGAATCCTTCAAAAATATCTCATTAACGTCTCCAGAAATGCAAAGAAATGTTAAGAATTTTTCATTCTATTAACATTGAAAAATATTTCTCAGAAGTATCCAGAGTAATGAATGATTATATGTCAAATCATAACTCGATAATTACTTATTTGTTGCTAAAATTAACATATTTCCAGAAGCTTCTAGATGGTTAAGAGCATTTGGGCGAGACTCTAATTTAAGGACGAGCCAATCAAAAGCGTTTGAGCCATTTCAAGGTCACGGAGTCAAGTTTAACGCATGATGCTCACATACGATCGGTTTACAGCGGATTTTAGAGAAGAGGTTATTATTGAGAGGCTACAAAAGATGGGACTACTAAAAAGTTCTTGTACGTGTGACTGTGGTTATCAAATGACTGCAGTAAAGTGTGCAGACCACCTCAGTGAGATTATATTCCGTTGTCCTTCATGTTGGAGGAAAAAGTCTGCTAGAACGGGGACTTTCTTTGCTCGATCGTGACTGAAATTGAGACAGATCATGATAATAGTTGAGAATTGGGTAATAAAGACACCAGTAACACTGGCTGCTGCATTTGCAGATGTTACTGAAACCTCAGCAGTCCAGTGGTATGAGTACTGTCGTGACATATGCGCAACTAAAATGACAAGTATACACCAATCATTTGGAGGAGTAGGATGTGTCGTGCAGATAGATGAAACGGTAGTGAGAAAGAGAAAATACAACAGGGGACGTAGTATAAAGGAAGATTGGGTAAGTAGCATTTTCGTAAATATACTTGACAGGTATTTGGGATTTATGATAGATCAACTCGAAAGGGACATTTTTAGAAGGTCACAAACCGGCAAGCAACCACAATAATACCAATACTACAGGAATACGTGCTGCCGGGTACTACGATATTTACGGCTACCATATCACGGCTCCAGAGGTCGACTATTATGGAGCCATATGGATGAGTTCTTATACCGTATGCAATATGATTTCAAAACATCTGAACCTTTATCAAATCTTAACAAGTTTTTAAATCATATAAAAGAAGTATATCCACTGTAATTCTTTAGTTTCTTCTAATATATTTTTACTTTATACTAATTGTCTTCTGATTGGCTAATATTCTCAAGGTCATTTAAAATTCGTTCAAAGGTCGTCCCTAAATTAGAGTCTCGCCCTTCGCGTTTTCTCTAATATTCGTTTCATATATAGGAAGAGTGTGGCGATATAGAAAGTAGGTAGGCAATCAGTATAAAGGGTTCAAGTAGAGATATGTTAGAATCCAAAATTACACATGGAATCGAACTCAAAACCTACGGGCTACATACTGTTCATGTTACCCTTAAAGTTTAATATCTGTGATCTAAATTTTTAATTTTAGACAATTTTCAAAATAGATCGAGGATTATTCAATGGCATGGCTGATAAGTATTTATTTCGAATAATGATGATCTTTATTAACTACAGTAAGTCAATAAACCTTTAAGATTACATTTCAAATCTAGCAACTCCTAAATAAACTAATATAATTGAAAAATTATTATTATTCTGTAATGCAACAAAATATCAATCATTAATAGTATTTACTCTAACACCATTATCTCATAAATCTGTGTCTATTTTGATCTGTAAGTAGACTGAAACCCTTTTTATGTAGATAAATATTACTCAGGTGATAGTTATTAAGATATACCACTTAAATATGCAACATATTTTGATATCTCCCTCGCGCGAGAGACCGATAGGTCCTTGGTTCAAATCTCACGAGGCGGAATCGTAGATGCGCATTGATGTGGAGTGCCATAATAGGACGAAACAGCCATCCATTGCTTCAAGGTTTTCCATGGTAATCTTACATTAATTAAGTCATGATCTCAACTATTAAAATTATTATAATATTCACAACCCCCCCTTCTGTATCAAATACAAAATAGTACATTTTTGATTGATTTTCAGTTCGAATCGCTCACATTTACAATAACAATAATAGTAATAGATAAAGAGATGAAATGTTACTGTTTAAGTGAGAATACGTAAACAACTAATGTTTATAGGAATATCATTCATATATTATAAATTCAATCACAATATCCATTATGCAATTGTAAATGATGATGTAAACAAAATGAGTATAATAATCTTGATAAACATAATTTGTTTAGAAAACAATGAATACCAATATTATTTGTCAAGTTAATAAACTTTATAACTAGAATGAATTTGACAGTTCTACTATTATAGCCGATTAATCATTGTGTATATGAATGAAAGTAAGTTTTTGTTTATGAAAAAGAAACACTACTTACAAATGGTAATTGATAATACATTATTTGTTTGTTGGTTTGTTTAGAAAACTCAATTTATAGATTCTTAAATTTTTTTTGTATTAAGGAATTAACAAATTATTTTGGTATACTTGAAATAGTTTATTTTCGTTTCATCTCTAGTAAGAACGGATGTTTACATTATGTTTAATGTTGTGATGGGCGGTGTCAAAAATTTGATTTTGATACATGATGAGTTGTGAGCTAACCAATCTCCCCCCATCAACTGACTGATTGAGTGAGAAAACAAGAATGAGAGAGAAAGGGTATTGGGCTACCGAATAAAATAAACAAATTCATATATCACAAGGGGTTTTGTGGGGATTTTATAAATTTCAATAGTTGAAATCATGAGTCAATTGAAGCTAGACCATCATAGAAAACCATCGGGATGCCGTTTCATACTAATATAGAACTCCTCAGCAGTGCGCATTTACGATTGATTGAAGTAAGACATTAACACCGTTGGATGCCGATCGGCTTAGTGGTCTAATGGTTAAACGCTCGCGTGCGAGACTGATAGGTCCTGGGTCCGAACCTCGCGGTGAGCGGTATTGTGGATGCACACTGCTAAGGAGTCCCATACTAGGATGGAACGACCGTCTAGTGCTTCCAGGTTTTCCATGGTGATCTAACTTCAATTGACTCATGATTTCAACTATCGAAATTACTAAAATCCCCACAAAAACCTTTGTGATCATAGATTGTTTGTTTAAAATTATGATCACATTTATTTATTCTCTATCCTCATTATTAGATAAACTATTAAGACTCATTTCCATAGTGAACTAATCTCTATATTTGAGATGAGATATATATATATATATATATAGAAAAAAGATATAATTACTTACAGTTTTTTCTGTACGATAATCATGAATAAATGCTTCACGAAATGTTGGTCTACAAGATACCTGAACCTATAAAGAAAATACAAGTAAAGAATAAAATTATATAAACAATGAATAAGTATATGTTATTATCAGAAGGGGTTTTTGTGGATATTATAGTAATTTCAATGGTTGAGATCATGAGTTAGTTGAAGATAGACCACCATGGAAAACCTGGAAGCACTGGACAATCATTTCGTCCCATTGTGGGACTCCTCAGCAGTGTTATTAGTTGACAAACTTGATTTAGGTCAAGTTAATGTGACTACAAAAAAAAACAAGGATCTTTTTTGCTCATGTTGAAATATACAATTCTTTTTAGTTCCACTTACATTATAACTAATATATGAATAACTATATTATATAGTAAAGAATTGTATGTGAATTGTATATAGTTACTATTGAGTCTCAAATTCAAGTAAATGAAGAGGGTTGAGTATATAAGATTGACAAGTTTATGCTGTAGAAAATAATCTTGATAAGAAATTAAAAAACCGCCAATTGGATCAAATAAATTAAATCATTCATATTTGAATTTACAGATCTACTAAATGGTGATATGATATTATTGAGTTATATTTAACGATATAGGAATATAGGAATATTATGAAATATAAGATAACTAGTAATAATCCATAAGAAATTATATATCTACTTTTCATGCTATTTAATAATTGTCAACTAAGTGTACTTATCATCTTTATGGACTAAACAAAGATAAAGTGTATATAAATATGTATATGAGTCGGAGGTGAGTTAGATTTCCGCCCACAGCTATGAATAATAGATGAACACTATTACAAATTAATTGAGATTAAGCAAGTGTATAACTGAATGTAAACCTAGTAATTTGAAAATTAACTTTTCACTAAGAGAACTTAAGGCTTTTGATTAGATTCCTAAAATGCCCTAGTACAGTCGAGATTGAGAAAAGTTAACTGTCCCTCTTGAAATTCTCTTACATCGCCACGTGTATACAGCCACGTCCTACTCGCTGCCTTCTCGTCGAGGCGGTGTTGTTAACTAAATCGAGAGGACAAAAAGCGAGTGACCAGTGCTTTAACCGAGTTGGTGGGTATGGAAGATCCACCTAGGGGAGTTGGAAAACCCTGATTCCAAACTAATGGTTCACATGGTCTCCAGTATTCTGAAGGAACAAATGGCAGATGAACCAATTATTGGTCACCGGTTACAATGGGACTGCATCTTCTGACGTTGCTACACTGCCTTATGGATCGAACCTTTAGGTCTAAGGCTCCGAGTGTGGCCGTCTAAAAGATCTACCTGCTACGGTTCGGGCACCTGGATAGTATCATAGCTCACACACAAATCAAGTGACTTGTGTGGCGCATATGTATCCGGTGCCCCTTTGTATAAATATTTCTGTGTCCAAATAAATAATAAATAAATAAGATTTCCTATAGACTTATTAAAGTATACTTTAAGGGAGTGATATAACTTGCGGGATGTGCGCCCTGTTAATGGATAACGTAACGATACCACAAATTAGAGAACAGTAAATTATCGATTGAATCAATGACGTGTAAACCATATGAGCAGTCTAGAGTTCTTATTGACCCTGCTTCCTGCCTAGCCCAGCCAGTTAAGTCAGAACACCAATCTCAGCCTCTGAAATAGGAATCAATTATTTCAAACATACTCGGTTTATATACCAATCAAACAGACTACATCGTACCATAAAATAGGAAACAACATTTATACAAGATTTGGTCAAATGTGGCTGTGAATGTGAGAGGTAGTAATTAATAGACAAGGCATACTTCAAGAAGTAAACGTATAATAATGGTTCATAGGTCAAAATAAAGCTTATAATAAGAGGAACACGAATATGAATAGTTTAGTTACATAACCATTATATGATAAAACTATACTCAGAGTATTGATCCATAAATAAATCCCAAAAATTACCACTCATTATTCTTATTAAGAAATAACTGGGTGTCATACAATTGATCAATATTTCCCATATTTCATTGATTTTATAATAGTAACTATGACAATCTGTAATTACCAATTAACATATATTTCTTTTCAAATTTCACATTATTTTTTCATTTTTTTTCATTTTTATTTTGAATGAACAATTAATGTTTACCATTTTAATTGCATTTACATCATTTAAATGTTTGTTAATTATGTAAAAATTTTTTTTAAAAATAATTCACAAATTTATTACATCATATGATTAAGTTTTAATTATTTTTTTTGTTACAGACAATAAAGTGAATTATCAGAAGGGATTGTGTGGAGATTTTAGAAATTTCACTGGTTGAAATCATGAATCCATTGAAGCTAGACCACCATGGAAAACCTGGAAACACTGAACGGCCGTTTCGTCCTAGTATGGGACTCCTCAGCAGTGCGCATCCATGATCCCGCTCCTCGCGAGATTCGAACCAAGGACCTACCAGTCTCGCGCCAGGCGCTTAACCAACTAGACCACTGAGCCGGCATCCAACGGTGTTAATGTCTAACTTCAACCAATCCACGAAGTTGCGCCACCGTACACCATTGTCTTCAGTGAGCTGATATCTCACAACAGACCTGGTTGAACTCCACTGGTCGCGGCTTCTCACTAGAACTCCAGGAGTATCTCTTGAAGTCAGTCACTAGTGAGCAGATGATTATTACTAGAATGGGCTCAGTGGTCTAGTTCGTTAAGTGCCTGGCGCGAGACTGATAGGTCCTGGGTTCGAATCTCGCGAGGAGCGGGATCGTGGATGCGCACTGCTGAGGAGTCCCATACTGGGACGAAACGGCCGTCCAGTGCTTCCAGGTTTTCCATGGTGGTCTAGCTTCAATGGATTCATGATTTCAACCAGTGAAATAAAGTGAATTGTTCATTTCATTTAGTTTTTGTATAAATGGTTATTATGAAAAATGCTAGTAATATTTAATCAGTCAATCCCATCTCATGAGATTTGAACCCAGTTTCGAGTGCAAACGCTTAAGATGTAGACTACTGAACCGACCGACCGGCCGGCCGACATCCAACGGTGTTAATGTCTTAGTTCAATAGATTCACAGAGTTCAATCTGTATCAGGTAGAGACAATTATACACTTCAGATAATGGATGAAGTGTTGTGAAAACTATGGATTGATTAACGTTAGATATTAACACGGTTGGATGCCTGCTCACTAGTTTAGAGGTTAAGCGTTCAATGATGAGACTGAAAGTCATGTTTTTGAATGTCATGTGTGGGATCGTGTATGCGCACTGATGAGTAGCCCCATACTATTATAAAACTTCTGTCCAATGCTTCGAGGATTTCAAAGGTGATTTAATTTAGATTAATTAATCAATACACCTGTTAAAATTATTATACCTCTACACAAATCCCCATTCTGACCATTATATTTAACTACAAAAGATTATAAGTACATTAGTTAAATTGAGTCATTCCAAAGTTAAATTAATTAGCTTTAAGTTTAGTTGAGGTAAGAGAAGTGGTTGAATATCTATTTCTCTAATTTCTTAATCCACATAGTTACTGTTACCACCATCTGAAACATAATGTTGTACTGATAATAATTAGTTAATTATAATAATTTACTTAATAAATAGTCTCTAGAGTATAATGATAAACAGTTTAGAATATATTTTTATTTTTTAAAATATTTCCCACTAATCCTGTTATGTAATATGAATTAAAAAAAAAAAAAGAAATTTTCATACAATTTGTTCCGTAAAATAATTTCAATCAATCAATAAAACAAAAACAATAAAATGATAACACTACACTGTATAATAAATGTTTAGTTCATATATGATAGTGTTTAATCAATTACTTATGTTGATATTGTTTTATTGATCAATTTGATAGGATTATCATAATCCAAGTCATTCTAGTTAAAAGTAATCATTAGTAAACTTTAAATCGAATCTCAGTTATAATTTATTAGTATGGGCAATATTTTGATGGAGTTTTGTTCTCTGACCTGGATAATTTGGTCACGGAGTTTTCATAGTCCTCTTGAACGACATCATCAGCACAAACATCAAATAGAAGTGAAGTGTTCAAATTTCTCTATATGCGTTTCACAGCTTGTTCTGTACACCTTGATGTTGATTGGTTATTATTGACCTTAAATTTGATATTGTTTACTTCTTTGTTTTGGTTTTGTCTCCCATTGGTTTGATTTGTGTTCCTATATTTGTACACGATTTTCCTGATCAAACCATCTAGCTCGGAGAACAAAACTACATCAAAATCATCCCCCTGAACTACAAATTTTTTCCACCATGGGCAATATTTGAGAATATAAAGAATTATTTGTTTTACATAGGATAACAAATTATGTTAGATACAGATAAGAACATTCGTTTAAATTTAATTGAATAGTTTTACAATATAAGAGGCGCCGAATTGATGTAAGACATTAAAGAGGAAGAATGTTGTAATTGTAAAATCTCAATGAATGAATGTGAAATAAATCCAACGTTTCGCCTAGCAATCTAGTCCAAGTTTTTTCACTACTCTAAAATCAAAACTAGTAAGAATTAAACATTCAATACACAAGGAGCAATAACACAATTGTGTTTATGAAATCAAATGTAGTGACTGTAATGCAACGTATATAGGTGAAACATCAAGGCATCTGAATGTGAGGGTGGAGAAACACAAACTGTGCTTAAAGTACATTCCTAAATCTTCAGTCGATGTTAGAAAACTAGAGAACAAATCAGCGATAGCATTACAATCGATATAATTGGGTCATACAATTGATTTCAATGGCACAAGAATCATTCAAAAAGGCTACAATTCATACAAAGAGAGACTAACGGCCGAATTTCTTCATATATGGGCTAATCCAAATAGTATTAATACATGTGATGGAATACAATTATCTGTCCCATGGCAACTAATAATTAATAAGTAAACCTGAACTCCGTATTCCATTTTATCTATTTCGTATTATCTGAATAACAGATATTACATCCGATGGTTCTAATCAGTTATCTTATCTGAATATGATAAACTATTGACTGTAATATTAAAATAACGCAAACATTCAGTTACATATATATTCTTCCTCTTTGAATTCATTCCTTTATCGTGTTTATTTACCTTCACCTTATGCATGTTATGACATTTGGGATTCATATCATATATAAATATTATGTTTTCTTTAATATTCACCTAACGAAGACAATATATAGTGAATGAAATATCTCCGTCTCACTTACGTATACACACAATCTGTTATCTGAACACTTTTTGTTCTACACCACATGTGTCTCTTACACAATAATACAAATACCTACTTTTAACATTGTTAACGTTGATTGGATGACCTATTCAGTGATACGGTGAACTGGAGAATTATGTACCTATTTATATTCGATAATTTTGATGTTTGATTATATTTTCCTTGGAAAAGCTTGGACCAGATTGTCAGGTGAAACGTTGGATTTACTTTAAAATCCATTCGCTCAGATTTTACAAATACATTCTTCCTCTAAAATGTCTTACTTCAACTCAGCGCCCAAATACCGTGAAACTATTCGATCAAATTTAAACGAAAGTTCTTATCTATATTATATAAGGTCACATTCAATGAGGAACAACAAATTTTTTATGTTCTCAAATATACCCATGCTAATAAGTTATAACTGAGGTTATATAATATAAGTTTAGAAATTCTCGTTGTATCCCTATCAACCAATAACATCAAAAACAATTCATGAGATACTAAATCTCTTCAACTTATGAATACATCACAACTTATTCAATAGAATTCGATCAACATCATGGACTAAACAAACCACAGAATGGATACTATTCAAAAGTGAAATCAGTTTACAAATAAGTTTATTTGATAAATCACTATTATTATTATTATTAACTACTATTACTGTTTAAAATGAATTCGCTTACCAATGGAAGACAATTTACATGACAAACAATATGACAAACAGAGCATTTCCTTTTCGCTCCAGATTTCTATACAAGAAAAAAATATGAATAATATACATAAAGAAAAAGAAATTAATTATACTGATAAATTACAGAAAATAACTAAATAAATCATTATGTATCTATTGTTTCTCATATAATATATAATAGGTCATTCAAGCTGATGAGGAATTACATCACAGAAATCAGTACACTCCTATATGTATCATGTATTTCTGACTCATGATCTTAACCATAGGACGAAACGGCCGTTCAGTGCTTCCAGGTTTTTCATGGTGGTCTAGCTTCAAATGACTCATGATCTTAATCATTGATATTACAGGAATGAAAATTTACTCCCCATCATTACAGAATAAGAAAGTATACTGGTAGTGAACAAGAAAACCAATCGGGACAATCCAATGTAATTAATACTAAATTACAGGACTTGTTAATCAAATCTAACAACCATATATTAAATGCTCAATTTGCAAAATGTTTATCAGTTGTCTCAAATGACTCAGACTTCCTTTGTTCTTGCATTTTCACACAAATTGCATTCTGTTTTCATTCTTTACTGTTCGATCTTTTCGTCTCTCTGCTGCCAGACATTCTGTTCACGACTCACGTCATATACTACTTATGTCTACATAAGTAGCACACACCATATACTGTTTAGTTACATATGAGGCTAAGTGTTTAGTAACTCAACGTATGAACGAAAACAACCAACTGACTTCAAAAGAACAAAAAGCAATTCATTGTTTATAATTTTGCATAAGTCAAATGAAATTTCAATATAGAAATTTAGATTCACTTAGTGTTGTTTTAATTGTATCTTTTCATTGTTATTTAGGACTGAAATCGATCAGGCAATATCGAGGCAGTCCGTACAGGATACACATATTCCAATAATAAACTGATCAATTGCAGTCCTAAATAAAAATGAGAAGATACAAGTAAAACGACATCAAGTGAATTTAAACTTCACCCCATTGCACAAGCAGCTGACTATCAGAACTCTGTAGCTAAGTGGATAACGCGATGGGATTTGGAGAAAACGGTACTGGGTTCGAGTCTCGAAGTGAACATTAACTCGGATGCACGTACATCTATCTGACGAGTCCCAAATAGGACGAAACACGTGTTCTGGATTCCACTGCTAGCCCCTATCCATCTTTGCTTACAGAAATTTGGTTTTAAAAATAAGACTTTTACCAAGTAACTTATAATTACATGAATATTTATTCAAACGGAATGTCTTTTACTCGAGAGTTTGTTACTGACTAATTATCTGTCATTATATCCCTAGATTACACCTACATTTGGAGTTGAATATTAAAAAAAACGTGCAAATTAAGAATGGAATCTTTACCTTAAGATGTTTAAATAAAAACAACATTAATTATACGTTTATTGATAATCGTTGAAATTCGAAAACTGAAAACATGATAAGCTAAGTAACAGACAGAGTAGGTAATGATCCAATCAGTGCATGGCAATATAATCTATTTACATTGTGTATACTGATTGATCAAAATGCTTTCAGCCACCTTTTGGCTTCTGAAGATCATTGTAAAGACTTCTTGTAGAATACTAATAAACGTAAGTGATGAAGAGATGTCATAATATGTTGTAGATGAATGAATCATCGAATAAACACACGATATAAATTATTCAATAATAAACACAAGGTTCACTAAGAGTAGAAGATAGGAATAATAAATTTAGTGGCTTATTAAATAACGGCAGTTTTTAAAACAACCAAATCATTGTATAAACCATCTGATGAAATGATGTTTAAAATACCATGTAGTGCAACCCATCAAGGTTAAATGTGAATTATTTACTTGTTTTTAAAGCACGTCCAACCTTCATAAACTCACGTATAGCCAGAAGCATTAAACTGAATAGTTTCAAAGATATTAGTAGACGAGGTTTACGAAGACTGTCGAATTTAATAGTTTATGTAGAAAACTGACGTCAGTTAAATAATCATCGAAAAATGCCCCTAAATGCCCTGGTACGGTCGAGAGTGGAAAGAGTCAACTCTCCCTCTCCAAATGCTTTCACATGGCTGCGTGCATACAACCACTGCCAGGGAGGTCCTTCTCACTGACTTCTCGTGGCGGTGTTATTGTTCACTTAATTGAGAGGACAAAAAGCGAATGTCTGGCTCCATTACAGGGTTGTTAGATATGAAGGATCCACCTAGGGGAGTTGCGAAACCCTGATTACAAACCAATGATGCACATGAGCTCCAGTATCTTGAGAGAACAAATGGAGTCTGAACCAATTACTGGTCATCGACTACCATGGGACTGCATCTTCTGACGTTTCTCCACTGCCTAGTGGATTAGACATTTGGGTCAAAGGCTTTGGGTGTGGCCTCCAAAGAAAACCACCTGCTTCGGTCTGAGCACCTGGGTAATATCACAGCCCACACACAATCCAAGTGACTTGTGTGGCGCATATATATTCGGCGCACTTTGTATCAATATTTCTGTATTCAAATAAATATATAAAACTCATCAAAAATGAGGAAGTGCGACGCCCCGAAAGCACTCATTCAAGAGCACAGTGAGACCTAACTAAGTTCAGTCCATGAATTAAACTACACATTTTTCAAACTGTTTTCTGTGGAATAATGGTACATATTATGCAGAAGAACTACTTAAAACAAGAAGTCAATACGTAATTGTTTCTTTCTGCCTCTCCACTCCTGGTTAATGTTCAACCATGACACACAACTAAGGATCAATACATTCAGTATATATATATATATATATATATATATATATATATATATATATTTTCATTTTCGGTTAACCCTTAAAACGAAGGTTCAAATAAGTCATGAGCACGATAAAAACTCATTAATAATATTAAATATGTAACTCGCAATCTAAAAATGTTAAAAGTGTAGACAATCGAATCCACCTACAGGAATAAATATATATTTTTAAAATTTTTTTCATTGAAACCGTGAAACAATCTACATTTAATAAGTGTTAAAAAACTAGAAGCCATTGATGATTGTTTCATCCTAATATGGGACTCTTCAATAATATTTAATAGTTGCTATATAATCTGAATGTACTGAATAAAGGGATTATTAATGAATGTCAGTATATTTCAAATGTCTAAAGACTTAAAAAAAAAACGTGTTTCTTATTGATTGTAAACTGTTAAATAGGTTTCTCTAATCTTCATTAATAAAACATAGATCTGTTGATATTAAAAGAAAAAGAAAAAAACAAGAGTGACTTGATAAAACGCTAAAAATCGATTATCTGTTACCCAATCATGAATTTTTAATAATTGTCTCAGTTACTTTGTAAAATAAAACTCTTATACAAAACACCATGAAAATATGTTATTTTATTAGTGAATAGTTTAAGTTTAACAATAACCATTTTATCAATGATGTAATATGTTACTGATTAGTAATAATACACTTCATTGAATGAGTTTTTTTTATTAATGAATAAGAATTATTCTACATTAGGTAAAAGTTTTTTTAGATAAATTACATTTAAGGTAATAGGTTCAAGTCTAAACTTCGCCTATAGCTCTTCCAGAGTTATTACCGGTTCCAAGCCTGAGTAAAGGAGGATGGTTGGGCATGGGATTGAGGACCCCATCCCATAGAAGTAATCTTTTTAAAAAATCGCCAACCAGATTAAGTATGTTCAAGTTTAATTTCACTTTATGGTCCAGTCAATTGTAAGGGAATATGTAATGTTAACATACATTTATGTAACATGTAGAATAATTGCTATGATGTTGTATACTACTGATTTCGATAGATATAAGTAGTATGTATCATCAATTGAAAGTGAAATGTCTAGTGGCAGAAGGTTAAGAAGATCGAAAAAAAGGCAACGAGAACAGAGAATGATTGCTGTGGAAACGAAAGAACAATGAAGTCTGAGACGATTGGTTGACATTTTGAAAATGAAATATTTACTGTATAGTTCTCAGATTTTACTTAGACGTTCTATAATTTTGTATCCACATACATTCAATTGTCCCCACGTGTGTTCTCGTTCACTACACTATCATGGAGATAAACAATATGTATATGTGACGCAATTAGATCCAATTAAACAAACACATTTTTCAATGGTTATGACCATGAGTCAGTTGAAGTTAGACCACCATGGAAAACCTGGAAGCACTGAACGGCCGTTTCGTCTTATTGTGGGACTCCTCGGCAGTGCGCATCCACGACTCCGACACTTGGAAGATTCGAACCCAGGACCTATCCGTCTAGCTCACGAGCGCCTAACCACTAGACCAGTGAGCCGGCATCCAATGGTGTTAATGTCTAACACATTTTCAAAAAAATAATAAATATATATTTTGTTATATCCCAGTGAGTAGAAAAATTGTATTTCTGACGTTTCGTGACTTCATGTTAACCACTTCTTCAATGTCAATAAATATTTAATATTGACTTGAACACATGAAAATACAGTAACAATGTTTTAAGTTTTGTATTAAGAATCCTCCCTTCAAAAAAAGTATTAGTAATTAATAGCTTTCAATAAACTATATGTTATTTCAATGGAACTTATAGTGTACACCAATATTATTTTATTGATTACTGATAGTCTCCTGATAGATGCTATTGTCTAGTCAGAAGTTGAATATAATAATATAGAAATCAAGTACAAAAAATTACGTAACATTATTTGTGCGAATAATCAGTACAAATGCATGGATAATGACCCAGTAAGGCGAATGAATATAAACGAACATTTATACACATAAGTATTGTTGTATAATAGAATGAAATCTAATTAAAATCTAAATAATCTAATCAATTTGCTGTTTAAAAATAAACTAAATCCCACTTAATGAATATCACTATAGTTGGTTGGAGGTAGTCGATAGGATACCCTGAACGTAGGTTTTGAGCCATTTGACACTCATTACAAAGTTTCGCCTGTAATCTTGAAGATGCTTCCTAACGGATTCCATTCAATGTCACCTAACTTTACAGTTCAATACATTATCAGTAAAGTTTTCGGGCAGCGACTCAC